AGATAGCATTTCATTTATGGGGACAATAACTAGGCTTGAACTACCTAGCCTAGCTGGCGGAGACTTTGTTAGGCGGGGCAAAGTTTCCTGTTGCACATCTTTTGATGCACTGTTTCCACGCGGAGCAAATTTACATCGGTTACTGTTACGGTTACAATAGGATGCATTAGAAGAGAGGAAATAATGTCTTAGCAGCAACCGTTTACTACTTCAGCGGTTAAGTTTCACCTTAGTAAAACGTATATGATGTGCCCATACATCATAGCTCTCCGTTGGCTTCTAGAGACTAAGTTACGTTCGCAGTGAGGGAGGATGACAAAGCATACACCTAGATTTTTTACATAACCCTTTTTGCTTTTATGTTGTGTACGGACAACCTGACTTCTTGACGTCTTCTGGAGGTAGACGGCTTCTGGTCACCATTAGTTATGTTCAAAGTCACACCAGAATCTGTAATTCAGGCTAATTATATAGGCATTCACTATGGCAGACAGTCCACACAAAAGGTTAACATTTGTTACGTAAATGAAGCAGAGTTTAATGAAAATAATGTCAACGGTGAAAGTAAAGACAGGAAACGAATGTAGGCCATTTGAGACCTTAATTGGCTACGTCGTCAGCCTTCAGTATAGAGGAAAATTTATTGCCTCATTACCGTCCCCTCAAAGAAAACACGACGAAATCAATCAAAACTTGTTCAAAATATCAAGTCAAATACATGGTGAGGATTTCTGCGCTTTGCAGCAACCGCTCCCGGCGGCGTTAAGATTTGGCACTGTTAACGGGGCTGCTAAACGGGGCAGTTGGAGGTGTCAATGATCACTGGTCCCTGGTAGCACATGGCCCTAAATTCAGCGGGGCTGAGGACGGGGAAATCCGGGGTTGAGAGCCTTTGTGGACGAACTGAATTGACTGTGCAAATTTTTCGAAATCTTTTTGTCAAAAAGTCAGTCAATCAGTATATTAGAGGGAAAAATAGGCGTGCGCCTTTGAACTCCCTATTTGTC